AATAACCGCCGGCTGTCAATTCCGTATGTTGAGAAATTCATCGAGTCACACGTTAGATGTTACTTTTCACACTAATTTCTTGCCACTTTTCAGTTATGATCCCAGACTTTATCTGCCCTGATTAACCGAAAGGCAGACCAGCTGTGACAGCGGTAAGCTGATTAAATGCTCATCGTGGCCAAAGGGGAGAACTGTACAATGAAATCACTAAGAACAGAAGGAAAGTTTACTGGGAGCCAGCTTTTAATCATGATCGAGTCTTTCTTGGGAAGAGAAGGTGCTTACAAATAGGATTACAGACAGGATGGAATACTGAACCAAAATGTCAACTTCGCCGTGATTCATCATAAACACACGTAGCCTGAGGATGTACAGGAGGCCTGCGTTAGACAACGAAGCAGATACAGGCGTGTAAATCAGCATGCTAGGAAGAAACCTGGGATGAAGGCAGGTAAGAGGGTTGACAAAAATGGAAAATCTTTATCAAAACCTAATGTGCCTAAGACACTCGATTCACTCATCTAGTTTTGACACGTATTTCAGCCACCTGGTTTTTGCCCAAACATCAAATTATTTACTCTGCTCACTGAAATAATTCTAAATCTAAATTTTTTAATCTAAAACTGTAGACATTTTAACCTAACTTGTTCTTAAAATGATACTTTAAAATCTCACTAAAAACATAAAACATAATAATATAGCATAATTAATTCTAGAATGTTAGTGCTGGAGAGTATGGAACTGTACCTCATAGCAATCTGGCAACCATAAAATAAGAATAAATTTAGGGAAGTATTTTAAACCTAACAGGTAAAAATGGGATTATTTTTTGAAACAGGGTCTTGCTCTGTGGCCCAGCTGGAGTACACTGGCACACTCTTGGCACACTGCAACCTCTGCCTCCTGGGCTCAAGCGATCCTCCCTCCTCAGCTGTGGCTACAAGCTCATGTCACCAGGCCCGACTAATTTTTTAATGTTATATAGATACAGTGTTTTGCCACGTTGCCCAAGTTGGTCTCAAACTCCTGAGCTTGAGTTATCTGCCTGCTTTGGCCTCCTAAACTGCTGGGACTACAGGCATGAGCCACTGTACAGGCCAAGAAGGAGACACTTACCTTGTCTCTAAGTACCTCCCTAAAACACACGTATTAATCACACAGAAAAAGAGTAATTGTATGCAGGAGAAACCTGGCTGACCCCATCAACACCAAACCCCACCTGGTGGGATGCAGAGAGATCACAATGCCACTTCTATATGACACCTGCAAAAATAAAAGGCAAACCTAGATCTGATTAGGAGGAAGTTCCAGACAAGTCTAAGCTGAGGAACATTCTATAACTTGCACATGTGGCTACTGACCACTTAAAATGGGGCCAATCTAAACTAAGATCTGCCATAAGTGTAAAATACACGTTGGATTTCAAAGACATATTTCCGTCACCCCCAATATGATTTGGCTGTGTCCCCACCCAAATCTCCTCTTCAGTCGTAGTTCTCATAATCCCCATGGGTCGTAGGAGGTAACTGAATCATGGGGCAGTTACCTTCATGCTGTTGTCATGATAGTGAGTTCTCAAGAGATCTGATAGTTGTAAGGGGCTTTTCCCCTTTTGCTCAGGACTTCTCCTTCCTGCCTGTCACCATGTGAAGAAGGATGTGTTCGCTTTCCCTTCCACCATGATTGTAAGTTTCCTGAGGCCTCCCAGTCATGCTGAACTGTGAGTCAATTAAACTTATTTCCTTTATATCTTCATTAGCAGCATGATAATGGACTAATACACCCCCCAAGTCTCCTCATGCCTCTTTGTAATACCTCCCACCCATCCAACATCCTGTCCCTCCTCTACGCCATCCCCAGGCAACCACTGAACCATCCTGTCGTGACAGTCAGGTACACATTGTCTAGAATTTCACATAAATGGCTTTCTACTCTTTCGCCTAGCTTCTTACACTCCACAGACATCATTCTGAGATTCATTCACATTCTAGCATATAGCAATAGCTCATTTACTTTTGTTGCTGAGTAGCATGGATTTATCAAGGTTTGTTCATCTGTTCACCTGCTAATGGACAGTTAGGTGTTCACAATTTGGGGCCATTACAAATAAAGATACTCCATCTCCACACAAGCCTTTGTGTGGGCATATATTTTCATATCTCTTGAGTGAATGGCTAAGAGGAATGGCTCAACCATAGGAAACTGCCACACCGTTTTCCTAAATGGCTGTCCCATTTTACATTCCCAAGAGTAGTATATGAGAGTTCCAGTTCCTCCACGTTCTCACCCATACTTCCTTTGCGCAGTCTTTTTCATTTTAGCCATATTCTAATACACATGCAGTAGTGGTTCACTGTGGTTTTAGTTTGCATTTTTTTCAATGTCTAATGATGTTGAGCATCTTTTCATGTGCTCATTTGCCATCTATACAACTGGACTGCAGCATCCAAATCTTTTGCACATTTCTTACTGGATTGTATGTTTTTTCTCTTTTTTTTTTTTTTTTTTTTTTTTAGACAGAGTCTAGCTCTGTCACCAGGTGCCAGGCTGGAATGCAGTGGTGCAATCTCAGCTCACTGCAACCTCCACCTGCTGGGTTCAAGCAATTTTCCTGCCTCAGCCTCCCGAGTAGCTGAGACTACAGGCATGCGCCACCACGCCCAGCTAATTTTTGTATTTTTAGTAGAGACAGGGGGTTTCACCATGTCGGCCAGGATGGTCTCAATCTCTTGACCTCGTGATCCACCCGCCTCGGCCTCCCAAAGTGCTGGGATTACAGGCATGAGCCACCACACCTAGCCTCTTTTTTCTGTTTCTGAGACAGGATCTCCCTCAGTCACCCAGGGTGGAGTGCAGTGGCATAATCTCAGCTCACTCCAACCTCCACCTCCCAGGCTCAAGCAACCCTCCCACATTAGCCTGTAGCTGAAACTACAGGCACACGCCACCAGACTTGGCTAATTTTTGTATTTTTTTTAGAGAGACGGGGTTTTGCCATGTTGCTCAAGCTGGTCTCAAACTCCTGAGCTCAAGCAATCCACCTGCTTCAGCCTCTGAGAGCTCTAGGATTACAGGTGTGAGCCACCACACCCAGCAGGGTTGTATGAACATGCTAGGAACAAGCCACCCCAGGAACATGCCATGTCTTTCCATTTATTTAAATCTCCTTTGATTTCTCTCAACAATGTTTTGTAGTTTTCCGTGTACGGGTCTAACACAATTTTGTCAAATCTATTCCTAAGCACTTCTTATTTTTAATGTTATTCATAAATGGTGCTAGTTTTACATTTCAATTTCCAAGTATCCATTGCCAGCATTTAGAAAAACAACTGACATTTGGATATCACTTTGACGACGTTACTAAATCACTTACTAGTTCTAGAAGACTTTTTGTAGATTCCATCGGATTTTCTACACAGACGATCATGTTGTCTGTGAACTGACAGTTTTGCTGGATTGTCCTTTCCAATCCTGCTACCTTTTGTTTCTTCTTGCCTGAGTACACTAGCCAGAACCAAAGTGCTGAGAACAGATATCCTTGTCCTGTTCCTGAGATTAGGGGAAAAGTATTCAGTCTTTTACCATTATGAGTGATGTCAGTTGTAGGTTTTACAGAGATCCCCTTTATCGGGTTAAGGAACTTCCCTTTTTTTCTCACTTTGCTAAGGGTTTTTAAAAAAATCAGGAATAGCTGTTGGATTTTTTTTTTTAACTCTGTGTAGAGGGCTGGGCATGGTGGCTCATGTCTATAATCCCAGCACTTTGGAAGGCAGAAGTGGGCAGATCACTTGAGGACAGGAGTTCGAGACCAGCCTGGCCAACATGGTGAAACCCCACTCTACTAAAAATACAAAAACTTGTCAAGCGTGGTGGCATGTGCCTGTAATCCCAGCTACTCAGGAGGCTGAGGCAGGAGACCTGCTTAAACCCAGGAGGCGGAGGTTATAATGAGGTGAGATCACGCCACTGCACTCCAGCCTGGGAGACAGAGCAAGACTCTGTTTCAAAAAAATAATAAAAAAATATAATAAATACAATTTATTTAATTTTAATTATTTTTTTAAAATAAAACTCTGTAGAGTTCAGACTCCTCACTTGTGCTCTAAGCCTCTTTACCCTGCTCCTTAGGATCCCTTAGCTTCCTGTAAAAACTTTCTGCCACATCACGCCAGGGCAGACATGAGATTTCGTCAAATGCTTTTTTCTGTACCTATTGAGATAAACAGAAAAAAAAATTTTTAGCATAATAAGGTGAATTACACTGATTGAGTTTCAAATACTAATACTAAATCAACCCTGCAAAATCAGGATAAACTCTGCTTGATTACGTTGTATCGTCCTTTTAAAACACTGTTAGATCAGATTTGTCAAAACTGGGTTTAGAATGTTAGCCCCTATGTTCATGAGGGGACTTGTTTGGGGTTTTCTTTCCTTGCAATGTCTTTGTCTGGTTTTGGTATCAGAATAATGCAGGTCTCATAGAAGTCATTGTAACATATTCTCTTCAATTGTGCAGAAGAGTTTGGGTAGAAACGGTATTAGTTCTCCCTTAAGTGTTTGGGCCAGGCACTGTTTTCTCTAATCCTCCCAACAGTTCTCTCCCTGGCCTTCAGAAGTTGCCCTGCTCATGAGTTCTCAGCAGGATCCCTGAGTGGAGGGGCACTTTGGAAATCCCAAGTTTTCTCTCTGTGCACCCTCGTCCGCCTTGTACCCCACTGCAAGTACTCTGCCCTGCAGCCTCTCGCTGCCTTCGTCTCCCTGAACTCTCATCTCCATCTCCTCGAGGCAGGGAGTCTGCCTAGCTCTGCCCGGGTTTCCCCTGTGCCATGGCCTAGAAACTTTCTAAAGGCACTGAGCTGGGGCAGCTGTACTGCAAGCTCCCACTATTACCTGTGGCAGAAGAAAGTTACTTGGTCCTTCCTCCAAGTTCCTGGCACAGAACTTCTGAAACCCTTAGAATTCCCTGAGTCATATGGGTGACAGAAGCATCTTTTGTTCTAATGAGGCTACTCTTGGCAGGCCCCTAGGAGAGGGCTGGTAACCAGAATGACCAAGCCTCAATCTGAAGCATGGAACTCTCAGCCCCACTTCCCAGTCTTCGGGGAGAAGAGAGGGACTAGAGATGGAAGCTCTCGCCAATGGCCAGTGAGTGATCGATCATGCCTGTGTAAAGAAACCTCCATAGAAACCCCGGAATGGCTGGGCACAATGGCTTGCACCTGTAATCCCAGCACTTTGGGAGGCTGAGGCAGGCCTATCACCTGAGGTCAGGAGTTTGAGACCAACCTGGCCAACATGGTGAAACCCCATCTCTACTAAAAATACAAAAATTAGCTGGGTGTGCTGGCGGGTTCCTATAATCCCAGCTACTCAGGAGCTGAGGAAAGAAAATTGCTTGAACCCAGGAGGCAGAGGTTGCAGTGAGCTGAGATCATACCATTGCACTCCAGCCTGGGCAACAAGAGCGAAACTCCATCTGGAAAAAAAGCAAGCCCAGAACAACAGAATTTGGAGAGCTTCAGATTATTAAACACACGGAGGTGCTGAGATGGTGGTGCACCTAGAGAGGGCACGGAAACTCCGTGCCACCCCACCTCCCACACCTGGCCCTATGCATCTCTCCTATGTGGCTGTTCCTGAGTTGTAGCCTTTATAAAAAAAACATGTAGGTAAAAAGGTGAGTCAAGTGTTTTCCGGAGTTCTATGAATCATTCTAGAAAATTATCAAACCTGAAGAGGGAGTTATGGGAACCCCTGATATACAGCCATTGGTCGGAAGTACAGGTAGCCTGGGACTTGTAACTGGCTTGGGTCAGTCCTGTGACAATGAGCCTTCGAACTTGTGGGATCTGAGGCTAACTCCAGGCAGATAGTGTCAGAATTAAATTGAATTGTGGAATGCCCAGTTGTTATCTAGAGAATTAGAGAAGCAGTGTTAGAAAAGATACCACATCAGGTGCCAAGAGAAAAAGAAACTGTCGTTGCCTGCCTCTCGAAAGACTACTGTCCTGTGCTGACTCATGTCCCGTGTTTCATATTTTGCCGATTTTTTAACTATTTTAGGCAAGAAGGTGTATTGAGCCCTGTTGCTCCATACTGGCCAAGAGTGGAAAACTTCAAATACAAGCTTTCTCCCAAGTTTAAAGTTTCAAAACTTCAACCACCACACCCGAGGCCTCCTGTGCCTACCACTATCAAGGCAGCCTATTTTGGAATCATCTGACTCCATGTCTGTATGATTGATGAGAGCCAAGGTAAAATAAAACTTTAATCTCTGAGTCACTGGTCCCTAGCACAGAGGCCTGGCTCTCTTGGGAGCCCAGGGAAGCTTTGCTGGTTGAATGAATGTACGTGTGGAGGTAAGCCCTGGGTCAAAAACCTAAGAACACAGGTCCCCAGCGCCGTTCTGAAAGGCTCGACCCAAAGCCTGCACTGAACCTGAGAACCAAATCTAAACTCTTCACCAGCCAGGAGAATTGGGGACTTTGTTTCCCCTTATGACAGTAAGAAGAGAACCCAATAGAATAAGAAGGGCTTTGACAAACTGGACAAATGCCCTGGGAAATGGCAATTCGAAGAACTTGCAGTTTCAATCACTCCCTTGTTTCATAATTTTCTTAGAATCTAAATATTTTTCTAGTTGGTACAAGGGGACTTTCCTGGCCATCTCTTCAAAAGATAGGAAATTAATAATATTCGGTCTTGCGAGTATCCACTTAAGTTTAGATCATTCCCATCATTTCTTGCTTCAAAATCTCCCTAATAACAAGAACGCACATTAACAAGTCTTTTTCTTATTTTCCTTTCATGAGGATAGGAGAAAACAGATTAGCTCTACCCTGTTCACCCTGGCTAGAACCATATCTAGGCGCAAAGAAATGGTACACAGTGTGAAGAATAAATCAATTCCTAGACACATTCTACAGGACTTTCCTAAGTTAGATCATAACAATTTTAAAGGTCAAATACAGGCAAAAACACTTTCAGTCTTAGTACCAAGCCATCATGTGGCTCCTTGCAGTGACCTGTGAAACTTCCCCACCAACATTAAAGATTACAGTCAGGACTCACAGGAGAAAAAAAGAGAAAAGGACTAAATTGTCAGGTAGATAAGAGGTTAAGGATTAACACAAGCATTCTTTTTTTTTTTTTTTTTTTTTTGAGTAGAAGGCTCACTGTGTTGCCAAGACTGGAGTGCGATGGTGCAATCGCTGCTCACTGCAACTTTCACCTCCCCTGCTCAAGCGATCCCTGTGCCTCAGCTTCCCAAGTAGCCAGGACCGTAGGTGCATGTCCCCATACCTGGCTAATTTTTTTGGTATGTTTGGTAGAGACTGGGTTTCACCATGTTACTAAGGCTGGGACAAGGGTTCTTATACCCACCCCTGGAGGATATTGAGAGGTAGGTTTAAAGCCCTACCATGATTTTTTTATTTTTTGAGACACAGTCTTGCTCTGTCGCCCAGGTTGAAGTGCAGTGGCATGACCTTGGCTCACTGCAACCTCCACCTCCTGGGCTCAAGTGATTCTCCTGCCTCAGCCTCCCAGTAGCTGGAACTACAGGCTTCCATCACCATGCCTAGCCAATTTTTGTATTTTTAGTAGAGAAAGAGTTTCACTATGTTCACCAGGCTAGTCTTGATCTCTTGACCTCAGGTGATCCACCTCTCAGCCTCCCACAGTGCTGGGATTACAGGCATGAGCCACCACACTGGGCCACTACCATGCTTTTTTTTTTTTTTTTTTTTTTTTGGCAATCTTATTTATTTATTTATTTATTGACTGTGTATTTGGGCTCTGGGATACATGTGCACATCCTGCATCCTGCAGGATTACTGCATAGGTACATACATGTCATGGTGGTTTGCTGTCTCCATCCCCACCCCCACACCTGCCATCGCCTACATCAGGCATTTCTCCTAGTGTTATCCCTCCCCATCCTCCCCACCCCACCTCTCCCCACTGTCCCTCCCCTCCCCCACAAAACCTAGCCCTGTGAGTGTTGTTCCCTTCCCTGTGCCCAAGTGTTCTCATTGTTCATCACCCGCCTATGAGTGAGAAAATGTGGTATTTGGTTTTCAATGTGTCAGCCTGCTGAGAATGATGTTTTCTAGGTTCATCTATGTCTCCACAAAGGACATGAACTCATCGTATTTTATGGCTGCATAGTATTCCATGGTGTATATATGCCACATTTTTTTTGGTCCAGTCTATCATTGACGGGCATTTGGGTTGGTTCCAGGTCTCTGTTACATAAACAGCGCCGCAATGAACTTATGTGAGCATGTGTCTTTATGATAGGACGATTTATAAATTGTTCTACCATGCTTTTTAAAGAGCAAGAGAAACTAGCTTAACAGCTATAACATCCCCTTTCAATGCAAGAGTCTCTCACCAAAGATCCCCTCTGCCAGTGCAAATGCACCACATTTACTTTTACCGCGGGATGGCTCTCAAGCCTAGCACTATCTCACTCTCGGCTTCAAATACTTCAAGAGGGCTACACTGTCCACGGAAGCGGAAGCAGAAGCCATCACTATGGTGTACAGGGTTCTTCAGTCTGTAAACCTACACCCGAAAAGAATGTATTCTCTTCCCACACATCATATATTCTTGTATAGGGATTCCTAGGGTAGGTTATTAGTAGGTCAATTAGGTTTGGATATACAGAATTAAACACAGTTCAACAGGCTAACTTGCTCCTGGGCATTGTCAAGCTCCCAGAATTCCCCATGGAACGCCTCCACGGTCCAGTGCTGTGGAGAACGCATCTTAGGGGATGCTACTCTCCAGACACTGCAAACTGCTTCTTCTCTAACGCGCCACCCTCACCACCCTCTTTCATTCTTCCTTCTTTGCACATCTTGAAAGAATATTTGTTTCTGTTCTGTCTCCTTCTCACTCTCATTCACCGCTCACCTCTCTGGGATCAGGCTGTGAACTCTACCACGCTGCAGAAACTGCAGTGCTCTGAATGCTGGCATCTACCTTTTCTCATGTCCTTTCACATTTGGAAAAGTCAACAAGTAATGTTCATTACTTATGTATGCATTTGTATTTGCATAAAAGTGGGCGGGAAGAAGATGTAATACACTCGTGAGGTGCTTGCCTTTGGGGACAGGAGGAACACGTTTTCTGGTGTCCCTTCACCCTCTCCCAGCTCACTGCAAGGAGCTATAGGATGCTGAGGACTAAGAATGAACGTGTCTTTGACTTTTTTGTGTCCCCTCACCTGTGTACTTGGTCCCTGTGTACCTGTACACATCCTTTCTCACATCTCTTGGCTTGGCTCACTTCTATGTCAGTTTTTTTGTTCTTCTTTTGAAAATTAAAAACACAGAGAGAAGGGCAAAAATGCAGAATCAAAACCAAATACCTGACATCCCATTCATCAGAGGTGACAACCATTAGACTATGCTAATGATGTCATGTGGTTAGGCTAATAATGTCACATTGGCTTCAAGGCTTTTCTTTTTAATAAAGGAACATAACAGGATAAAAAGGAAGGGTCCTGTATTTCTGCTGACAGCCCACTCCCACCCTGCCTCTACCCCACAGAGCCAAGCACGTCACCAGTGTCCTGCATCTTCTTCCGGTCCGCTTTTAAGCCTTTACACGGAAATGCATTCACAAGCAATGAAAATCATCTTGTACTTCACAAAAAACAACACAATCACATCATACAATAAGCATACTCATCACCTTTCGTTTTCAACGCGCAAAATCTAATCAGCAAGCTCTAGCCACCCATGCTGGCACGCAATTCAACAGTATCTGCCAGTGCTGATTAAACTGATCTGTCAACACTGATCCTATGGCTTCTTCCGCTATCTCCAATTACTGAGAACTCAGCACCAGGTCTTGTCTCCAAGGGCTTCTTGTTTGCCCCTCCCAGTGGCCCCCTGAGATGCCCCAAATGCCTTCAGTTGACACAGGGCAGGGACACACTCTCCAGGTCTGGCCCACTCTAAGCCTGTGCCTTTAAATGCTGTGTTAAGCTGCCCCATTTTTTTTGTTTGCTTTGTGATTTTTTTCTTTTCTTAAATAAAAAAATTGAGAGGGTCGCGCAACGTTGCCCAGGCTGGTCCCAAACTCCTGGCCTCAAGCAATCTTCTCACCTCGATTCCCGAAGTGTGGGGATGACAGGCATGAGCCACCACATCTGGCCAAGCTGCCCTGTGTCCATCAATGGCCCACTGAGCACTGTCCCTACGCCAGATGTCTTGTACGTATCATGTCTCTCAATTCCCTGAACCACGCACTTACTTAGATGTTAAGTACAATTACTGTCCCCACTTTGGAGATAAGGAAACTGAGGCTGGGGCAGGTGCTGGAGGCTTGGTGTGAACCACAACTATACAGCTTCAGACTCCAAGTTTTTATCCATGGAGCTAAATGTCAGGTTTACTTGGAAAAAAAATCAAAATGGAAGATGAAATTAGAAAGATGAGCCAGTGTGGCCGGGCATGGTGGCTGTAATCCCAGAATTTTTGGAGGCCAAGGCGGGAGGATCACCTGCGGTTAGGAGTTCAAGACCAGCCTGACCAACATGGCGAAACCCCGTCTCTATTGAAAAATACAAAATTAGGTGGGCATGGTGGTGCATGCCTATAATCCCAGTTACTCAGGAGGCTGAGGCAAAAGAATCACTTGAGCTCAGGAGGCAGAGGTTGCAGTGAGCCAAGATGGCACCACTGAACTCCAGCCTGGGCAACAAGAGCAAAACTCTATCTCAAAAAAACAAAAATTAGCTGGGCATGGTGGTACACACCTGTAATCACAGCTATTCGGGAGGCTGAGGCTGGAGAATCGCTTGAACCCAGGAGGTGGAAGTTGCCGTGAGGCAAGATCGCACCATTGCACTGCAGCCTGGGCAACAAGAGTGAAACTCCACCTCAAAAAAAAAAAAAAAGAGACCTGTGTAAGATTGTGAAGAGGCTTAGAGGCTTGAATGCTCAGGCCAGGAGTACTGGTTAACATGTTACATGGTATTGTACCTACATCCCTGGTCCCTGATCAACACAGAACCAGAGCACCCTGGGAACAGGGAAACGGTACTCACGGTCATGGACCTTGTAGCAGTGCTTCTGCATGCGCTTCACGTCCCACTCCTCTAGCACGCCATGCGTCATCAGCAACTGGAGGAAGCGCCGGTGGACATCAGTCATGACGCCCGTTCTCCTTGCACTGCCCTGCATGTGGGAACGAACTGAAAAGGAAGTTAATGACACTAGTCATCCCCAAGCACATCACAAGCAATGTCCTAGGTCTTGTACTAATTTTCACGAACAAATATAAATTTGCCATCATTTTTAAAATGCATTCTTCATGCTGACTACTACAAAGGTGAGAAGACGAACACGAATCACAGCAAATTAGGACTGGGCAGTGGAAAGAGGTGTGTATCCTGGAGTCAGAATGCCGGGGTTCAGGGCCTGGCTTTCGCACTTATTGGGTGTGTGAAATTGAGCAACTTCAGTCTCCACGTGCTTCAGTTTCTGATCTGTAAAGTAAGAATAATAACAGAAACATCCTCTGCAGAATTGCTACGAAGATTAGATGGGTTAATACATGTAATAGCCTGGTAACATAGTAAGCACTAAATAAGTGTGAGCTACTTTTACTATTAGGCAATTCTGGGTCTAACCCTTGGCTCAGCCTGTTACCAGATCTATGGCCTTGGAGAAATTTAGCAGAGGCCTCGTTTTCTCACCATAAAATTATAATAAAGTTTATTACTGAGAGAACTGCGAGTAAACACTTAATAAATGTTAGTTTCCTCCTCTCCCCAAACCACTAATAAAACAACTATCATGGTAGGACTTCAGGCTGTTTTTTAAATCTCCTGCTCGCTAATAAAATGGATTCTTTCTATCAACCACAGAGATCACAGCTAATAAAAGTATTCCGCAAGCACTGATCAAAACGCCAGCTACTGCAATGGAACACGCAATGCAGGGCTAAGAATGTGGATTTGGAGCTAAACAGGAAGCACTGAGACCAGAAAGTCCCAGACCTGCCCGATCCGAAGAATGTCCGAATGTGCATATTAACAATACAGATTCCCAAACCCTTTCCTGGATGTTCTGACCACAGTGGGTCCTGGAATTCTGAGGTGTTTACATTCATTTTAGGTGATGTCATGATCTGACAAGAAATTCACTGCTGCCTTGGGCAGACACTGCACGCAAACATTTTTAGCTACCATGCTCAGCCTCCCTAAGGCCCAGTCTTTTCATCTCTAAAACAGGGAAACCAGTAGCTATCTCAAAGACATAGAGGAAGCCTAAAGGAGTTCCAACTACCAAAGGCTTGCCAAGCACCTGGCACATAAAGGACAAGCAAGATGGCTAATTATTGTGCTTCCTCTTTTTTTCTTTTAAGATGGAGTCTCGCTCTGTTGCCCGGGCTGGAGTGCAATGGCAGGATCTTGGCTCACTGTAACCTCTGCTTCCTATGTTCCAGTGATTCTCTGGCCTCAGCCTCCTGAGTAGCTGGGACTACAGGCATCTGCCACTGTGCCTAACTAATTTTTGTATTTTTAGTAGAGACGGGGTTTCACCATGTTGGCCAGGCTGGTTCGAACTCCTGACCTCAGACGATCCACCGGCCTCGGCCTCCCCAAGTGCTGGGATTACAGGCGTGAGCCACCACGCCCAGCCAGTGCTGTTCTTTAACCGCATCCTCAACTGGACCTCAGGACTGTGAAGATGTACCATCTTATAACCAGTTCCTCCAACTGCCTGCTAGAAAGACATCCTCCAGCTCACCAAATCTGCACCTCAACAAAACCTACGTTAGACTCATCCTCTCCTTCCATCTCCTCAGCCCTTTTCCTCTCCCAAGTTCTTCTCTTTACAAATGATCTGGTGTGGACGGTGCAGTCCACACAATCATACCACATACCTGAGCATCAAACTCTGGTCCTCTCTCCTTAAATCTCAAATCCAGCCAGTCATCGACTCTATTTCCTATCACTAGGGCCAACGCCATGTCAATGTACTTAGCACCCCCATATTTGCCAGTGGTTGTCCTTTCTGGGCACAGGGATAGAATGTGCCAGGCTAAAAAAATTGACTTATGGACAGGTGGGGTGGCTCACACCCGTAATCCCAGCACTTTGGGAGGCCGAGGCCGGCAGATCACCTGAGGTCAAGAGTTCAAAACCAGCCTGACCAATATGGTGAAAACCTGTCTCTACTAAAACAACAAAAATTAGCTAGGCGTGGTGGCAGGCGCCTGTGGTCCTAGCTACTCGGGAGGCTGAGATAGGAGAATTGCTTGAACTTGGGAGGCAGAGGTTATAGTGAGCCACGATCATGCCACTACACTCCAGCCTGGGCAACAAAGCAAGACTCTATCTTGAAAAAAAAAAAAGAAAGAAAGTACTTCTATCCTGCAAACAAAGGATCTCGCTACAAACTCAGGGTCTTTAGCAGGAAGACCGTGTTACCTAGCTGTGTTTTAGGAACATTATCTCCTCTGGCATCTCGGAGGTATAGAGGAAAGAAACGGGAGGCGAAGAGTCCAGAAAGCAGTCTACGGAAGGGATCCTACAAAAGGGGATGAGGGCATCACCGAGGCTCAGCAGTGGGGACAAATGATATGAATCAGAGCCAGTGTGATCCTATCCAATCTCAAGCAGAATAAGCTCTAAAATACCCACCTAAGTACATCCTAGTGGAAGTACACAATACCATAGATTAAAAGCAACCAAGGAAAAAGTCAGATGACTTCTAAAGAGCAGTCCTTCCACTGACAGCTGACCTCACAATGGCACCTATGGAAGTCGGTCACAGTGGAAAAATACCTCCTATGCTGGCAGGGGTGTCTCAACAGAGAATTCTCTATCCAGCTAAAGACTGAGAGTAAGACAAAAACATCTCCAAACAATGAAAAACTGAAGGAGCAAGTGAGGAGATGCTCCCTAAAGGAAATTCCAGAACATGCAGTTCAGGAAGAAAGAAAGCGAGGCAGGTTGGAAGGTCTAAAATGCAGGGCAGAATAAAGAGCAAAAAACTTTGGTAAATATGTGGTTAAATCCAAGTTAATTGTATAAAACAGTAAAAATCTGAAGAAATGCTTCTATCTTCAAAGAAAAAAGTTTTTAATACAACAGCAAAATGAATGAGGTTTTTTAAAACTTTAAATACGCAAAAATAATAACATAAATAGGAGGTGAGCAATCACTAGGATTCATGTCCTAATAGCCTTGTGATGACTAGGGGTAGAATCTGGACATTAATAAATTTTACACTTGGCCGGGCACGGTGGCTCACACCTGTAATCCCAGCACTTTGGGAGGCCGAGGCGGGCGGATCACAAGGTCAAGAGATCGAGACCATGGTGAAACCCCATCTCTACTAAAAAAAATACAAAAATTAACTGGGTGTGGTGGTGCATGCCTGTAGTCCCAGCTACAGGCGTGAGGAGTCTGAGGCAGGAGAATTGCTTGAACCCGGGAGGCAGAGGTTGCAGTGAGCGGAGATCACACCACTGCAGTCCAGCCTGGCACCTGGCAACAGAGCAAGGCTCTGTCTCAAAAAATGAAAATAAAAAAGATAAATGTTACACTTGCATTTTACAATTTCTAGAGTAACAACTTTAAAAAAAATAAACAGTGCATATAATTTCCAAATAGTAAAGGGGAATAATGTAATGAGAAAAAAATAATCACTTACTCCTAAAGATGGCAACAAAAGAAAGGAAAAACAAAAAACCAGGATAGGAAAAACAAGCACAAAACAACAAAATAAGTCCAGGGAAATAATCCAACTGGATTAGCAATAACAATGAATGCAAATAGACTAAATGCGCCAGCTTAAAGACAAGGACTGCTAGGTCAGATTTAAAACCATGTCAAATTAATAATGAATACAATCTACCTCTATAGTGTAAGAGTTCTGTATACGCTGGGCACACTGAGCCCAGGAGTTCAAGATCAGCTTGAGCAACATGGCAAAACCCCATCTCTACAAAAAATACAAAATTTCGCTGGCCATAATGGCATACCTCTGTAGTCTCAGCTGCTTAAGCGGCTGAGGTGGGAGGATTGTTTAAACCCAGGAGGTCAAGACTGCAGTGAACTGTGATCACACCACTGCACTCCAGGCTGGGCAACAGAGTGAGACCCTGTCTCAAAAAAAAAAAAAAAGTTTGGAGGGGCTGGGCGTGATGGCTTACGCCTGTAATTCCTGCACTTTGAGAGGCCGAGGTGGGTGAATCACCTAAGGTCAGGAGTTGGAGACCAGCCTGGCCAACATGGAGAAACCGTGTCTCTACTAACAATACAAAAATTAGCCAGGTGTGGTAGCACACGCCTATAGTCCCAGCTACTCAGGAGGCTAAGGCATGAGAATCTCTGGAACCTGGGAGGCAGAGGTTGTAGTGAGCTGAGATAGCACCATTGCATTCCAGCCTGGGTGACAGAGCAAGACTCAGTCTCAAAAAAAAAAAGAAGCTATAAAATGAACAGCAAATTAAATCCAAAAAAGGTAAAATGAGAAAATAGTAAAGGGCAGAATTATTAAGACTGGAAATAAGCATATATCTAAGGTCAACAAAACCAAAATTATTCTTTGAGAAAACATAATAAAAGTGAAAAACTTCTGACAAGATTTTCCAAGAGCTAAAACTTATAAACAAACAATATTTGGAAAGAAAAAAGGAAATTAATTGCAGATGACACAAACATCTATAATTAATAAAAGATACTTAAAGATATTATCAATATAATTAATCTGAAATTTAACTATATACAAAGTCATAGGGAATTTATTCAAAATTAATGAATGAATTATCTGAAAACCTAAACCATCCTATAACCATTAATGACATTTTATAGAAAATCCATTTCCCCACAAAGAAAACTTCAGGTCCCAATGACTTTATCAAGAAGTCCTACCAAATATTCTAGAAACAAGTAATTTCAAATGTTATACAAACAATCTCACAGCCACAAAAAAGGCAAACCCTCCCCAACCCATCTGATCAGGCTAAGCTAATTTGGCCCTGAAACCTAAAAAGGACCTCGAAAGAAAGGAAAATTATAGAAAACAAAAATCTTGCATGAACACAGCTACAATGTGTCCTAAGCAAAATGCTGACAAACTTAATCCAGACATGTAAAAGGAATGACATATCATCACTTAGGTTTATTCCAGCAATGGCTTAACCTCTAAAATGCAATCAGAGTGAGTCACCACATTAAGAAAGGAAAAAAGCATTTTAAAATCACATGGGGCTGAGAGTGGTGGCTCACACCTATAATCCCAACACTATGGGAGGCTGAGGCAGGCAGATTACTTGAGGTCAGGAGTTCAAGAAACCCCGTCTCTACTAAAAATACAAAAATTAGCTGGGTGTGGTGGTGTACGCCTGTAATCCCAGCTACTCGGGAGGCTGAGGCAGGAGAATCACTTGAACCTGGGAGGTGGAGGTTGCAGTGAGCTGAGATCGCGCCACTGCACTCCAGCCTGGGGCAACAGAGTGAGACTCCATCTCAAAAAAAAAAAAAAAAAAAATTCACATGGAACCAAAAAAGAGCCTGAATAATCAAAGCAATCCTAAGCAAAAAGAACAAAGCTGGAGGCATCGTTACCCAACTTCAAACTATACTACAGGCCTAAACAGCATGGTACTGGTACAAAAACAGGCACACAGACCAATGGAACAGAATAGAGAGTCCAAAAATAAGGCCACACATCTACAACCACCTGATCCTTGACAAAGCTGACAAAAACAAGCATTGGGAAAAGACTGCCTATTCAGTAAATGGTGCTGGGATAAGTGGTTAGTCATATGTGAAGACAGAGGCTGCCCCCCTGCCATAAGGAAGGGGATGGATTACAAAAATCAACTCAAGATGGATCAAAGACTTCAATGCAAGACCTAATACCTATAAAATCCCTGCAAGACAACCTTGGCAGTACCATCCTGAACATAGCAACGGGCAAAGATTTCACAACGAAGATACCAAAAACGATCACAATGAAAGCAGGAATTGACAAATAGGATCTAATTAAACTTCAGAACTCTGCACAGCAGAAACTAACAATAGAGTAAACAGACAACCTACAGAATGGGAGAAAATATTTGTAAACTACGCATCTGACAAAGATCTAAATATCCAGCATCCATAAGGTACTTAAATTTACAAGAGAAAAGCAACCCTATTAAAAACTGGGCAAAGGACATTTTTTAAAAGAAGACATACAAGCAGCCAACAAGCATATAAAAAAAAAAAGCTCAGTATCACTGATCATTAGAGAAATGCAAATCGAAACCACAATGAGATACCATCTCACATCAGTCAGAATGGTGATTATCAAAATGTCAAAAACTAACAGATGCTGGTGAGGTTGCAGAGAAAAGGGAACCCTTATAAACTGTTGGTAGGAGTTAAACCATTGTGGAAAGCAGTGTGGTGATTCCTCAAAGAGCTAAAAGCAGAACTCCCATTTGGCCCAGCATCCCCATTACTGGGTATATACCAGAGAAATATAAATATTCTCCCATGAAGACACATGCACGGGAATGTTCACTGCAGCACTATTCACAATAGCAGACATGGAATCAACCTAAATGGCCATCAGTGACAGACTACTAGATAAGGAAAATGTGGTACACATACACCATGGAATACTATGCAGACATAAAAAAGAAGGAGATAATGTCTTTGGCAGGAACATGGATGAAACTGAAAATTATTACCCTCTGTAAGCTAACACAGGAACAGAAGACCAAATACCACATGTTCTCACTTATAAGTGGAAGTTAAATGATGAAAACTTATGAACACAAAGAAGGAAATGACACTGTGGTCTACTTGAGGGTGGAGGGTGGGGGGTGGGAGGAAGAAGAGCAGAAAATATAACTACTGCATACTGGGCTTAATTCCTGGGGGATGAAATAAGCTGTACAACAAACTCCATGACATGAGTTGGCCTATCTAATAAACCTTCACATGTACTGCCAAACCTAAAAGTCTTTTTTTTTAAAAAAGCACATGATCATCTTAATAAATGCAGAATATACAACTGATAAAATTCAACATGTATTTACACGAAAAACAAATTTGGAATTGAAGAAAACATCTTTTATCTACTAAGTGACATCTATAAAAAAAAAAACCTACAGCAAACATATGGAAAAATGAAATGCTGGCAGTAATCACTTTAAAAACCAAACCGACCCAACTGAATCAAAGCAATTGCAATCAAAATCCCAACAGGCTTTGTGTATGTGTGTGTGCGTGATGTGACAAGATGATTCTAAAACTGTACATAGAAAACACACAGGCAAAACAGCAAAGACATTCTGGGAGAAGATAAAGGCAGGAGCACTTGTCCTACCAGCTAAAGACTTCTCATACTGGCTAGGGGTAGTCGTGTGTGCCTGTAATCCCAACACTTTGGGAGGCTGAGGTGGGCAGATCACTTGAACCCAAGAGTGCAACATCAGCCTGGGCAATATGGTGAGACCCCGTCTCTACTAAAAATAAAAATTTAAAAACAAAAAAATCCCTGGGCAGGACGGTGCCCACCGGCAGTCCCAGCTACTTGTGATATTGAGGTGGGAGGACTGCTTCAGCTCAAGATGTCGGGGCTACAGTGAGTCATGATTGCACCACTGCACGCCAGCCAGGGTGACAGAGTGAGATCCTGCCTAAAAAGAAAACACTTCTTACAAAGGTAGAGTAATGAATAAAGTATGGTAATGGTACAGAGACAGACAAGTAAGACCAGTCAGTGGAATAGAAGACAGAACTCAGAAACAGAGAGGTATACGTACGTAGATACTTGATGGTGGATTAAAGCAATCTTTACAATAAAAGATGCCAGGAAAACTTCTTATCTGTATCTGAAAAAAAATGAATAAAAGTTGATTCTTTTTTTTTTTTTTGAGACGGAGTTTCGCTCGTTACCCAGGCTGGAGTGCAATGGCGCGATCTCGGCTCACTGCAACCTCCGCCTCCTGGGTTCAGGCAATTCTCCTGCCTCAGCCTCCTGAGTAGCTGGGATTACAGGCACGTGCCACCGTGCCCAGCTAATTTTTTGTATTTTTAGTAGAGACGGGGTTTCACCATGTTGACCAGGATGGTCTCGATCTCTTGACCTCGTGATCCACCCGCCTCGGCCTCCCAAAGTGCTAGGATTACAGGTGTGAGCCACCGTAAAAGTTGATTCTTACCTCACACTATACACAAAAATCAATTCTGAAGGGAAAAGGTCATAATAAAGAAAAATCCTATAAAACTCTCAGACAATATAGAGAATACATGTATCAACCGAGGGTAGGGAAACCTTTCTTTAAGAGATACAAAAGTACAGTCATAAAAAAATATACTGATAAATTTGAATTGTGTTAAAATTAAGAACCTCTATTTACCAAAAATGCCAGAAAGGTGGAGGTTAGGGGGTACGAACTAGAGGGTATTGAAACAAACATAAGCTACATAATACAAAAGATTCATACTCAGAATGTATAAGGAATTCCTACAAATCAGGATGGAAAATACAACTGTAAAAGAAAAATGGGCAACAGAAATTTACAAAAAGGGTATGCGTAAATGATGAATAAGTACGAAAAAAAAAGATGCTCAATCTTGATGTTGTTAAATGATTATTAAAACCACAGTGAAGCAATGTCTTAGCCACCACCAGACAGACAAAAATTTTAAAAGAATGGCTGAGGCTGAAATTTTCATCTGCTGCTAGAAGAGTACAAATTCTTTTTTTTTTTTTTTTTGAGACATGGTATTGCCCAGGCTGGAATAAAGTGATGCAGTGTTGCAGGAGGAGATCCCAGTCTGCTACCCTCTGCGGCCCCTCTCTGAGCCTCAGTTTCCCCATCAGGAAAGGGGAAACCCCAAACCCCCCGTCCCAGAGTTTCACAGCCCACAGGGACTGACCCCGGGGCTGGACACACTGCCTGTCTCGCCCACCCCATCTTCCATCCTCCCCTCCCCTTCCTCAAAGTCCCTCTATTTTCCCCTCTAGCCCCTCGCGCCCCGCATCACCCACCAGGGCGCCCAAGCGCAGCCCCAGACTGCGCTAGCAGCTACGGTTCAACGCGGACCCTTCTTCCTTTGGGGCAGGGCGAACACGAACTGCAGCCTTAACCTTGAGGGGTCAATTGATCCTCCCACCTCAGCACCCCCGGTAGCTGTGACTAAAGGCACACACCACCACACCCAGCTAAATTTTGTATTTTTGGGGGTCTCACCATGTTGCCCTAACTGGTCTCACACTCCTGAACTCAAGCTATCCACCCACCTCAGCCTCCCAAAAATCCTGGGATTACAGGTGTGAGCCACCACGCCCGGCTGGGTATAAATTCTTGTAACCATTTCAGATGAACAGTTGATATTACCAGCAAATTTGCATATCCCCAGAAATCTACGATTTATTAGGTATATGCCTTACAGAAACTTCCATATTTGCCCTAGGAAATATATTTTTATAGAAGCACCACGTAATAACGAGTCTGGCAACAATATAAATGCCTACCAACTGAAGAACTACATTAAAACAATATCATCACCCTAGAGAATTCAAATCAGCAGTGAAGATAAAGCTCCCCTCCTCAACACACATGCTTCTGTGAAAGATAATGTTATATGCAGCAAGCAAGTCACTCACCCAAAATATATTTTAGCATCCTATTATATAAAAACAAAAATCCAGCAAAAGCATACATTATATTCATTAGAGATGAATACATACATCGTAAAAGCCACAAAGCAAAACAATATTCAGGGCGGTGGTTATCTTTGAGGATGGAAGAAAGGATTCAGTGGGGGGTCTGGGGATATGAAAATGTCTATTTCTTAACTTGGTGGCAGGTACATGAGTGTTCATTTTATTTTTGTTCTTCAAACTTATACTTCCACACAATTGTACAGGCACGTTACATACAATGTTTTTAAATGTGATGGGCTGGGCATCGTGATTCACACCTGTAATCTCAATACTTTAGGAGGTCAAGGCAGGAGGATCACTTGAGGCCAGGAGTTTAAGACCAGCCTGGGCAACATAGCAAGATCCACTTGCTACAAAAAGAAAATTATGTGAATACGTTAAATAACAGCCAAAATAAATGTAAATGAGAATAAGTACAGTATAGGATAACGCTATAATTTAGTGGAAAATAGGTGGGAAAGTAGGAGACGAAAGAAAAGCATAAGTTGTTTATGCATGTAATATCCCTTGTCTCTATAAGGAGAGACTGTGGGGAAAGTGGCGGGATTAGCCATAGAGCTGTATTACCTACTTAAGTCAATTTATTTTACACAAAACTTAGCCGGGCATGGCGGCGCATGCCTGTAATCCCAGCTACTCAGGAGGCTGAGGCAGGAGAATCACTTAAATCCAGGAGCTAGAGGTTGCAGTGAGCCACTGCACTCCAGCCTGGGTGACAGAGCAGGACTCCATATCAAAAAATATATACATATATATTTTTATTAATGAAAAGTTTATTGACTTTAAATATACATCATTAAATCTTTAAATGCTAAAAATTTATGATGAAAGAATACTGAAAGAAAACATCAAAGAAGCTAGAGGCTCAGCAGCATGATTTCAATGTATTTCCCAGATCAACAGATTTTAAAAAAAAAGTTTATGCCTTTTTATCCAAGAACAAAAGCTCCCTAAATTCAACATTTAGAAATGAATTTTTTTTTAAGCCCAGAAAACTGGGACTCATAAAATAATGGTACAATGTGGACAGCAAAAGAAAAAAGGTGAAAAGAATGAGAGAAAAATTGGCTCTAATCTCCCGTGTAACCTAGGTTGGCAGGTTTTGTTTTTGTTTTAGATCATTAAAAGCAGAATTATCTCTCTGTAACCTGCAAACAAATCCTAGCGTTTTAGCTGTAAATTTCAAGAGTTCAGACATACAGATAAACTAATTTTAAAAAAACTTTTCTTATTCTAAGGCTTTTGAAGCATTATATAAATCTTTAAAATTCCTATCACCCACATTTTAAGAAATACATCTATTACTTTTAAATGTATCTATTTAATAAAGAAATTTACTTATTTAAGTTTCATAATTTTAAAATAGAAATGTTTGTGGAATAAGTAAATCTCAGTCATACGATTCTTGCAGGTGCTAACCGTTCTAGTGCTTCACATGTTCGACCTCATTTAACCCTAAGGATCACTAACACCATCTTACAGATGAGGAAACTGAGGCAAAGGGGGCACAAAGTGACACACAAGTTGGTGGCAGAGATAGACCATACAAATGTGCGGTTCCTGTTCTCAAGACACTCTCAATCCAGCGAGAGCGAGATGGGTAAATGAACAGAACAACTACGATCCAGGTCCCCCTCATCTGCAATCTTCAAATCTAAAAAGGTCTAAATACTAATGGATGATCAGATGCAGGGGGGGAAACAAAGTCTGAATACCAAAACTTGTTTCTTAAGTTGGAAAACTTGACCTGACTTCAGGGGAGGCTATCTATGGTTATTTATCCCAACGGTGTAAATATATGCATATCTTTAATTGTGGAAAGAGTCGTGTATTTGATTACAAACCGTTGCTCCAGCCCCCGCTGAGGGTGAAACCGAACATGGAACGTATGCACCATCTTTCCAAACTCCCAGAAATCCTTGATTCTAAACTCATCTGGCCTCGGGGCTTTAACACAAAGGGTTGTGGACTTGTACGAAGTAATAAACTCCGTACACAAAACAGAGGGGAACATGGAGGGCGGCGGGACGAACAAAGAGGGTGGTCGGCAAAGGCCGTGTTTTCCATAGATGTAATCACAGTTTGAATCAAATTTTATATTTTGCTTCTTCACCTATTACGATGAAAAGTATCTTTACCTGTTAAATCGTACTTAATTACGATTAAAAATATTTTTCACTTAATAGTACGATTTTTAGATGCCTGCTGTGTGTTGCGGGAGGAGATCCCAGTCCGCGGCCCTCTGCAGCCCCTCTGCAGCCCCTCTCTGGGCCTCAGTTTCCCCATCAGGAAAGGGACAAACCCCAATACCCCGTCCCCGAGTTTCACAGCCCACGCGGGCCGACGCCGGGGCCAGACCCCACTGCCCGTCTCGCCCATCCCTTCTTCCGTCCTCCCCTCGCCTTCCTCGAAGTCCCTCTTTCCCCTGTAGCCCTTCGCGTGCCGCATTACCCACCAGGGCGCCCAAGCGCAGCCCGAACTGCGCTAGCGGCTACTGCTGCAAGGCGGACTCATCTTCCTTTGGGGCGGGGCGAACGCAAACGCGGCCTTCCCATTGGTGAACTGCAGCTGATTCTCCCGCCCGTAGGGTGACGCACTTCCGGTTCTCCTCTCGTGCTATCGCCCTTTTGTTTCCGCCTCGGGGGTTAGATCCCAAATTACGCAGATTCCCGCGCGGTTATTGATCCTTAATAATGGGAAGGGCTTCCACTTGTCCTCCGCTTCCTGACCTCAGTGACTGCCCCGACCAAAGAGGAAGAGCCTTTGTAGAGCCCGTGCTTCCCATAATGGCTACGATTCCGCTGGCACAATGTAGTGCCCTGCACGGGCCTCAGTTTCCCCATCCGTGGAACTGACAGTGTGGCCTCAACGTCAAAACTGTGGACTCTGGGCCGGGTGCGGTGGCTCATGCCCGTATCCCAGCACTTTGGGAGGCCAACGGGATGATCGCTTGAGGTCAGTAGTTCGAGAACATCCTGGCCACCATGGTGAAACCCTGTCTCTACTAAAAATTCACCTGGCGTAGTGGTGTGTGCCTGTAATCCCAGCTACTCAGGAGGCTGAGGCAGTAGAATCGCTTGAACCCGAGAGGCAGAGGTTGTAGTGAGCCAGATCCGGCCACAGCACTCCAGCCTCGGCGACAGAGCAAGACTTCTATTGAAAAAAAAAAAATGGACTGTGTGGTCGTACAGCCTGAGCTGGAATCCTGGCGCTGCCACTTACTAGTTGCAGGGGCTTGGGCAAGTCACTGAGCCGCTAAGCCTGTTTCCTTTTCCATTAAATGGGGATATTAATCCTTGCAAAATACTGTTGGTGAGATTTGCAAGAGATAACAATACCTGTATCAGGTGCTTAGCATGGCCATTAAAAAGTGTCACACGGGAGTGCTGATTAAATGTTATTATCTTACCTAGGCATTGTTGTGAGAAAGTAAGTGAAATTACTCATGGAAGTGAATGGACTGCTTTGAATCTTCAAGACATTAATTTTTCCAAACATTTGTATTCCATCCCTAGTCTGAGAGCTAGGGATGCAGCCTAGCAAGGGAGACAGGTAACTAATATAGAACAGTAGTACCTACAGGTGTCTGTCTCTGAGAGGGAGGCTCAAATCCGGGTTTGGTCACTTACCACCACTGTGATCTTGGACAGCCTCTTAACCTCTCTGGACTTCAGTTTCATCTGCTGAATGGGAAAGCAGTAGTGTGTGGTGATTAAAAGCTTGAGCTGTCCGGGCTCGGTGGCTGACGCCCATAATCCCAGCACTTTGGTAGGCCAAGGCAGGCAGATCACGAGGTTGGGAATTTGAAATCAGCCTGACCAACATGGTGAAACCCCGTCTCTACCAAAAATACAAAAATCAGCCAGGTGTGGTGGCGCATGCCTGTAATCCCAGCTACTCAGGAGGCTGAGGCAGGAGAATTGCTTGAACCCAGGAGGCAGAGGTTGCAGTGAGCCAAGATTGTGCCACTGCACTCCAGCCTGGGCAACAGAGAGAGACTCCATCTCAAACAAAAAAATAAAATAAAATAAAGCTTGAGCTTTGGAGCTGAATGGTAAACATGGAATCCTGGGCCTTAAACTCAGTAGCTCTGAGTCACAAGACAAAGTACAGTCAGCCCTCCATGTCTACAGGTTCCCCATCTACAGAATGAACCAATTGTAGATGGATAATATTTGTAAGGGAAAACAATAAAAAACATTGTATTTTATACATAGTTAACAATATTTGTCTTGTTCAACAATAAAAATAATACAAATTCTGAAAGTAATACAGCATAGCAACTACTTACATAGCATTTACATTCTATTAGGTACTATAAGTAATTTAAATACGATTTTCAATATACTGGAGGATTTGCATAGGTTATATGCAAATATTCTGCCATTTAATGAGCACCCAATGGGTTCTCCTTGCCTGCTGCCTAGACAGAACCAATTTATCCAGACAGGGGAATTGCAATAAAGAGTTTAATTCACACAGAGCCGGCTGTACAGGAGACCATGGTTTTATTATTACTCAAACCAGTCTCCCTGGAAATGCAGGGTTTTTGAGGATAATTTTGTGGGTAGGGGGCTGGGGATTAGAGAGTGTGGATTGGTCGGATCACAGATGAAAGGAGTTAAAGCTGTCCTCTTGCACCGAGTCAGTACCTGGGTTAGGGCCGTAAGACCAGATGAGCCAGATTACAGGGCTGGGTGGCGTCAGCTGGTGCATCAGAACACAGGGTCTGCAAAGTATCTCAAGTACTGATTTTAGGTTTGACAACAGTGATTTTGTTCCCAGAAGCAATTTATGGAGAGTCAGAATCTTGCAGCCTCCAGCTGGTCTCTACTAAAAATACAAAAATTAGCTGGGCATGGTGGCACACGCCCGTAGTCCCAGCTACTCGGGAGGCTGAGGCAGGAGAATCGCTTGAACCCGGGAGGCAGAGGTTGCAGTGAGCTGAGATGGTGCCACTGCACTCCAGCCTGGCAACAGAGCAAGGCTCTGTCTCAAAAAACAAAAAAAAAAAAAAGAAAAGAAAGAAATCCCTACTGTATCTGAATCTAGCTGCTCTGGAAGAGTGGGGAAGTCTGGCAGCAGTGGGCCTGCCTTCTTCCATGGCAGCACTTGCTCAGAGCTTGGGAGAGGTCATCCCCTTTCATGAAGCATTAAAGGGGATGCAATAAAAGAATAGAAAACGTTGGGAACACCAGCATATCAAGATTAAAGGGTCAAGAAAAAAAGAAAAGAAAGATTCAGGACTGAGGGGCTTGGTCTTTCACTTGAAGACCACAGAAGTGATGGAAGACCAGGAAGAAATGAGAGAAGGTTTGTATTTTAGAAAAAGAACTTGGGTATATCTATTCTTTACAAACATGCTTGGAACATTTACAGAAATTGACTACTGGGCCACAAAGGAAGTTTCAAGAAATTCTCAAGAATCTATAGACGGCATTCATGAACCACATGCTGTGAAAGTGGTATGAGAGGCACCTAGGAAGAGAGGCTTTTGAGAAGGAGGGTGTGGTCAGAATCGTCAATGCTCTGGAGAGGTCAAGAAAGATGCGCCACCGATTTAGAATTTGATGACCAACAAAGGCCATCTTAATAGAGAGGAGAGGAAGCCAGACTGAACTTCAAGAGTGAAGAACGGAAGCTGAGGAAGTGGAGAGGGAATGCCAACTGCTCTTTTGGGAAGTATGGCTTGGGAAGGGAAGACTTGAAGACTCAGGAACAGAGATAATAATCCATAAAATAAAAACAGACAGCCAGGTGTGATGGCTCTCACCTGTAATTCCAGCACTTTGGGAGGCCATGGGAGGCGGATCACTTGAGGTCAGGAGTTTGAGACCAGCCTGGCCAACATGGTGAGATCCCATCTCTACTAAAAATACAAAAAATTAGCCAGGCATGGTTTTGCACACTTGTAGTCCCAGCTACTCAGGATGCTGAGCAGGAGAATTGCTTGAATCCAGGAGGCAGAGGTTGCAGTGAGCTGAGACTAAGCCACTGCACTCCAGCCTGGGCAACAGAGTGAGACTCTGTCTTAAAAACAAAGAAAGAAAAAAAATGGAGAGACAAAAAGGGATAGGGTCAGAGGTGCATGGAGACAGGATTACTGTTAACCTAGAGATGGAAGAGACTCTTCTGAAACAGAGGGAAAGGAGAGGAAAGTGGCTAAACACTCACTCCTGATGTTTTCTGTTTTCTCCATAAAGTAGCAAACAGTATCATTCTGCTGAATAAAAGAGCTGAAGAGGGCCTGGCACAGTGGCTCACACCTGTATTCCCAGCATTTCAGGAGGCTGAGGTAGGAGGATTACTTGGGGTCAGGAGTTCGAGACCAGGCTGGGCAACACGGCAAGACCTCATCTCTACAAAAAAATTTAAAAATTAGCCAAGTGTGGTGGCATGTGCCTGTAGTCCCAGCTCCTTGGAAGGCTGAGGTGGGAGGACAGCTTGAGCCTGGGAGGTCGAGCCCAGGAGATTGAGGCTGCAGTTGAGGTTGTTTGAGGGATGGTGCCACTGCATGCCAACCTATTCCAAAAAAAAGTCAGGAGGTGCTAAGGAGATGCTAAGGGATTTAAGGGGAACGAGTCAAAAGATTTGGAAGAGATACTGATGACAAAGCAGAGATGAACTTCTAGCTGAGGTTAAAACCCAGAAATGTGTAGAGATGACAATCTGGTACCTCCCTCAATGCCCCCATTCCCATCCTGGGGGCTTCACAGCAGAAGCTCAGCCTGGATTCATACTGAAGTGAGCTGGGGATAAGCAACTGATTCATAGAAGGCAGAGTGACTGGATAATGCTACTTTCAACTGATCCACTATGGATCTGGCAACAATTAAAATTAAAATGGAAGCAGCACAGCAATCAGAGGCCTCTGTGAGTGACTCTGGTTCAGCAGGAGCAAGTAGTGAGTAAGGATCAGAGTTCACCATGCAGAGTGGTCCCCTACCAGGTGGTGGTCCTGCCTCAGTATATCTCAGAGGATGGCCCATTCCCTACTGGGTTCCGTGAATATTTCTTAGGACATTTGAAGTGCCAGACTTTGGATTCTCTGTTCCTGGACAGCTCTGATAGTTCAAATTGTTCTTCTCAAAGCTGACCCTACAATGCATGAGAGCTAGTACATCAATTTGTTGAACACAAGGCAGGTGGCCAAGACCTTGGCTAGAGAGGAAGCTTCGGGACAAATAATGCACTGAGGGCGTTGGTCTTTTCACCAGAAGACCACAGAAGCTTATGAAAAGTAAGCGATGCGATCAGGCTTGTATTTTAGGAAAAAAAAAAAAACTTTGGTATATCTATTCTTTAAAGAAATTGACTATGTACTGGGCCAAAAAGGAAGCTTCAGTGAATTCCAAAGAATCTATAGACCACATTCATGAACCACAATGCGGTAAAATTAAATATCAACAACAAAAAGAGCCAAAAAGGTGTAGACACAGTATACCTTAGATTAGTAACTGCAGTAGCTTCTGAGGAAGGGGCCAGGAAGTCAGAATGAACTTTTTTTTTTTTTTAACCAGGTACATCTATTACCTATAAATTTTCAAAAATTAAAAATTGACTGGGCGCATTGGCTCACAACTGTAATCCTTGCACTTTCAGAGGCCAAGGCAGGTGGACTACCTGAGGTCAGGAGTTTGAGACCACCCTGGCCAACATGATGAAACCCAGTCCCTACTAAAAATACAAAAAATTAGCTGTGCATGATGATAGGCATCTGTAAATCCCAGCTACTTAGGAGGCTGAGGCAGGAGAATTGCTTCAACCCGGGAGGCGGAGGTTGCAGTGAGCTGAGATCATGCCATTACACTCCAGCCTGGGGGACAAAAGCAAAACTCCGTCTCAAAAAAATTAAAATTAAAAATTATGAGCATACATTTGAGTTTTATTTCTTAAGTCAGGAGTTAAGTACAGGACCACGTACACAGACATTATATTTTTTAGACCTTTTTATGCGTTGAAATATTTTATCATACATTTTTAAAAGAAAAAGAACACATATTTAGACACTAAAAACATTCAGATTAAGAAAAAAACTAATATGGAAATTTTCAAATATTTGGAAATAAATGACAGTGAAAACCTGACATAACAAAACATGTGGGATCCAACTAAATAATTAGCCAGGCACAGTAGTTCACGCTTGTAATCCTAGCACTTTGAGGGGCTGAGGTGGTCAAATCACCTGAAGTCAGGAGTTAGAGACCAGCCTGGCCAACTTGGCGAAACCCCATCTCTACTAAAAATACAAAAATTAGCCAAGCGTGGTGGGGGCCTGTAATCCCAGCTACTTGGGAGGCTGAGACAGAAGAACCACTTGAACCTGGGAGACGGAGGCTGCAGTGAGCTGAGATGGCACCACTGCACTCCAGCCTGGGCGACAGAGCAAGACTCCATCTCAATAAT